CCTTACCTGTCGTCTAAGAAAAAAAAGAGTACATCGTCATTAAGAAATAAGCATGCTGATGTTAAATGTCTTTATGGCTAAAGATTTTGGTTTGATCAATATGAAAGTGTAGGAACGTATAACAAGGACATTATGAACTTACGCGGATGTATATATATATATATCATGTTTCTTATATATTAGTACCTATGTCTCAAAATATAACAAATTTTGTGTTTGCTAACATCTATCACATAAATAAAAAAAGTAAAGTATGTAAATACTCTCTCCATCTAGAATGGTAGGAAAATTTTACTAAACAAAAAGTCAAATTTAACAAGTTTGACTAACAATTAGTTAGGTTATGTGCAAATATAGGGCATGAAACTTGCATCAATAGATTAGTGTTCAGAGTAGTTCTAAGATGGTATTGATTCTTTAGCAATTACCTACATACTATAAGAGCTTACATGTCAAAATCTATTTTGTACAACTTTTCTTATGGTCAAATATGCATATCACTTCTGGACAGAGGGAGTATATATATTTATAGTGAATTTAAAGATGCTCATGTGATATCGTAAAACTTATAATTCTTCTAGATAGAATTTGTCCAATTTAATAAATATGACTTTTGGCAAATTCAGAATCCCATATACTATGGAACGAATGGACTATAATATGTGCCTAACTACATAACTCATTTTATTTCTTCATTTAATCACGTGACACCTTTTGTTTCCACTTACATCACAACCTAATCAAAGCCTAAGACATTCTATAAAATGGAGCATCAAAACATATTTTACATGTATAAGGGTAGTCCTAACATAAACAATTAGAACATGTTTCATATGCATAACAGCAATCCCAACATGAAATAGTACTTCATTTCTATAGCATTAACTAGCTGACACATGGGAAAAAATGCTGATGTTGCATGAAAGTAAATGAAGAAAGAGAAGGAAACTTGAAGAAATTGTTTATGCATCTTAGAAACGGTGTCAGTTCGGGCTCTAACATGCTAAGACAATTGTTGGTTTTGCATTTTGGCTAGGTGGCATTTCCTTATAGTGGGCCCAACTTGGTACAACGTGGGCGCTTGTACTCCGTCAATGCGTCGGTTGCGGTGTACCATGCATAATCCCTCACTGGTGTTTTATCTAGGAGGCCGAGGCCGACTAGATGTGTGTTGGGGGGGGTCTCAATAGTCGTTTCAAAAGCTAATTGTTATTTCTAGGCGAAACAAATGGGGAATCAAATTAATGACTAAATAACGACTTCACCCCTACTACTACAACACTATCACCCTAGCACAAGATAAGTGAAGCGACAACTAGGGTGACTAACAAGAAAGCTCCTAAACAATTCTAGTAAGCATGGTCAAACAACCAAAAAACTAAAACAACTAGCAAGCAAAAGAGATCCTACTCATACTATTGAGCTAAGGTAAACAACAACTTATGCTACACTAGAACAAGTAACTACGCTAGCAAAAGATAATACTTGTAAAGAGCTATTACAGTGGGATGCAGACCACATAGGAAGGGAGACACAAGATTCTCTCATGAGGTTTGTTTGCTTGGGGCTTGGCGACCCCGTTGAGACGAGTCCAAGGATGGCTAGGGATAACAATTAGCTAGCTAAAAATTCCCTATCTAACTATTAGCCCATCAATGTTTAGAACTTAAGCTAAAAAGTGAATATATGCCTAGCATTGAAGAACTATTAGTCCTTGTTATCTAATTGTACCTGGCTAACAAACTAACAAGGACTTGGCTAAGAATTAGGGTCTGTTTGGAACAAAGAAAAAAAACAAAGGAATGAAATAAAACATAGCATTTTAAGAGGAATGAAATAACAAAGATGTTTTGGAACGTTGGAATTTGCAATACGGGAATAAGAATAGTAAAATATTGTATCAGAATTTTTTCATGTATTTAAACTAGGCCCTCTTACATGTAGGACCATCTGCATAGCTCATCCAGACACGTCATAGTCTTTATCCTGTTGGTCTCTCCTATATAATGGCTCATTCTAGTCGTAAAGCCAGGATCCGCACAGGCCTCCATACTTAAGGGCAGAGTATCACCGGCTACACTAGATTCCGTGTAAGACGGTCTCCAATAGGTGACTCATATGTACACTCAAACATAAAATAGGTAGTAGGAGATTTAAAATTAACCTATAACAAAGTATCTATATGGGAGATCCATTTTGGGTTGTCCGAGAGGCATAACGTAAATATGAGTATCCTCTTTTCTGAAAACTCATTTACAGAAAGGATCCTCTTTTGGGTCCTATTGTTGGAGAAGATGTCGAATGTGTATTGAACTCGTTCTTTTTTCATCCGTTCGTGTGCCCTTAAACCCGACTTGATCCGCTTATTTTTTTATCCGAAACAGTGTTTTTCTCTCTCATATTCCTCCAAACCATTTAAATTTCTCCAGAATTCTTCCAAACGAACAAGCCCTATAAGCACTACCCAAACGTTGAATAGATCTTATATTTTAAATGTTTTTTTTTTGAGATAGGGTAAGACCAAGAAAGAAAGGCAGCAGCGGCAGGGGCGCAGAGCCGAGAGGTGTCTATTTCCGCGCGTGCTGCTGGCATCCGCCACGGCAAACCCGCAACGGAAAGCCCCTTTCACGCATGGTACCCGCTCGCTTTTCCCTCGACCTGAACATAGAGTCGCATCTAGACTTTGGAATAAAGATCCTATTGCCACTGCCCTCACCGGGTACGGTGGATCATCCGGCCGGGCCGATGCATGCATGCACCGCACTAGTAGCCTACTCCGTCTGAAAAAATCCAATTCTAACTTTTAAACTGCTACTACCAAGCTCGCGCGATCGAGGTTGAGCTACCCTACCGGCGCCTGGCAGTAGCAGGCTACACCGCTCGTAGTACAACGTTATTGTCCACCTATCGAGCTCGAGCCTCGTGCGTGTGGTCCACCCCCTCCTTTTGATCCGCCCATGGCCCCCGGCCGGCCGCGCGCCAGCGACACGTCGTGTTGGCCGTCCCTGTGCTGCCGCCGCTGGATCCAACCCCACTGTCCGGTGTCCGCGCGAACCGGGCCACACGCGCGCGCCCACGCACGCACGCATCCATCCACGGCCGCGCGCCTGCCTACGCCGTCGTCACTAGTCCTCGCTAGCACCGAACGTGCAGCTGCACGTACGACCTGCCGACGACGAGCTTGCTGGCGCTGATGATGGGTACGTAAGCGTACCTGCACTGCATAGCATCGCACAGCAGCTAGCTCACCAGCATTCGCAGCAGCTGCCCGGGCGGCCGGCCGGATGGCTGGCTGGACAAGCTCGAATCCCCACGCGGGGACCACGATGCCTTGACGTCTCGAGAGCAGGTCCGGTCTGGTACGTCCCCGGCGGTCCAGTCCAGCTCGCCCCGCCCGCTTATTAGATTTGCATGATTTGGGTTTGGATTCGCGGTCGCGGCAGGAAAGCCGGGCCAGCTATTCGGCCTGTTCATTGGGTTTATAAGGAGTACGTTATTAGTCAATGAACAATATTTTTCTCTCACAACAAATCAATCAACAGTATTTTTAACCATGACTTATCAGCCAAACGAACAGACTTATTCCCGCATCAATTATGCACGCGAGCGGCGCGGGTCAGCGGCTGCCGTTGGCCCCCCATTTGCCCACCTAAAAAAGAAAGCAATTATCGGGAGTGTCATGTTCGCTTGATCGTTTCTATGACTTATAAGCTGTTTTGTTGTGAGAAAAATATTGTATCATAACTGAAGAGCATGGACTGATACGATCATACGAACAGATGGCATGAAGTATTGGCTGCGGACTGCATAGCTTCAAACAAAAGTTTCAAACCGCGAAACCATACATGATCGATCAGGTTTTAATCTGTATGGTGTGTGAACTGACGGCTCCGGAGTCCGGATAGCCTCTCCTCTCAGCCGATCGAGATCGATCATCGAAATATCGCCCAGCAGACGACATTCCTTCTTCCAACAGCCAAACGCACGTAGGTCAATCCGGCACGCATTTTGTCTTGGGAGCTAGTGTTAAACTCGGTGGCAAGCACGCGCAGTTGAATCGAGTTTTACTGGTGGTAGGCGCGCGGTGTCAAAGTCTTGAGCGAGGTCAGCAGCGTTACGATGAGGCGACAGGTGTGCACGAGGGTTGGTGATGAACAAAGAGCGGGTGGATTGTGACAACAACAAGATGCTCATATCCACGGGAAATAATTCTTGACATTATCTTGACTTTTTTGTCTATAGAAATTGTCGTTGTTTGCATACTCCAATAATGACGCAATTAAAGCGTGTGCCCAGCACGTAAGCTTTTGCATGTCCATGTGGGGATGCTTCCGTGCACAGCTCTTCTAGATTTCGGAGCCGTCCGATAAATCGGCTGATATTGATTTATTGTGAGAGAAAAATATTATATTATATCTGATAAATATTATACCTAGTATTAATATATAGTACAACATAAAATTGTTTGCCCAGGTCAGGTGTTGCCCATTCGGGTCCGGATAGATAGCAAGCATCGCATGGCATGGAGCTGTCCGACGTCCGGATGCAAGTTAGCCGGTGGACCTAACAATTTGTGTGCCGGTGAGGGCTCGATCCCTTCCAAACAGCACAGTACAGTGGTGCCGTCGACGCCTTCTTCCCTTCCCCCGCGCTATTTTATGATGATTATCCCAACCACAACCAAGCTCTAATCATACCCCCCCTCCACCCAGAAAATCCCAATACAAATACTCGACCAGCAAATAGATAGCCAGAGGGAGGGAGGGAAGCCAAGAAAACCACGCCAACGCCAAAAGCAGCTGCCGATACCACTGCTGCTGCTGCACCTGCCTGCCTGCACAACCCTCCCTCAGCCGCCCTCAGCAGGGCCGCAGGCGAGAGCGAGAGAGAGAGAGAAGCGGCAGCGGATGCTCATGCAGGGCGAGTACCGGTCTTCCAGCGAGGAGTCGGCGGCGTCGGCGGCGGCCGCGGCGGCAGCAGCCGCAGCCGCAGCCGCAGCCATGGCTCCTCTGGCGGCCGCCGCGGCCGCCGCGGTGAAGATGGAGGCGGAGCAGGCGGCGATGGCGGCGGCGGGCGCGTCGGCGCCGCAGCTGGGACCGGCGCACCAGCATCAGATGCAGCCGCGGCGGCAGTACCGCGGCGTGCGCATGCGCAAGTGGGGCAAGTGGGTGGCGGAGATCCGGGAGCCGCACAAGCGCACGCGCATCTGGCTGGGGTCCTACGCCACGGCCGTGGCGGCGGCGCGCGCCTACGACACGGCCGTGTTCTACCTGCGCGGCCGGTCCGCGCGGCTCAACTTCCCCGACGAGATCCCATCGCTGGCGCTGTCGGAGGGCGGCGGGGGCGGGGACGGGGAGCCCGACACCGCCGACGGCAGCGGCGGCCCAGGCACGCTGTCCGCGGCGTCCATCCGGAAGAAGGCCATCGAGGTGGGGTCTCGCGTGGACGCGCTGCAGACCGGCATGATGGTCCCGCCGCCGCACCACCGCGAGCGCCAGAGGCACCACCACCACCACCACCTGCCGCAGCTGCGTGTCCACGCGCACGCGGAGGAAGAGCAGGAGCAGAAGCCGCAGCCGCCGCAGCGGCCGGCGTGGAGCGGGCGCGTGAAGAACCCGGATCTAAACCGGGCGCCGAGCCCCGAGAGCTCCGACGCCGAGTGACAAGCGAGCGACATCGCAAGGCTCAACGTCAACGACGACGTCCGTTATCGGTTCATTCGGTTGTTCCCATTCCCGCGACGACGCCCAGCACAGCATGCCGCTGTCGTCCCCGTCTCCACGTACGTACGACGATCCAGCTGACCCGGCCGCCTGCCTACCCGTCCGACTGGACTGGATGGTCGGCGGTCGGGCGGTGAGGGTTTTCGATACGTTGTGGATAAGCACGAGGGGGAGGGCACGCAGCTGGGGCGGGCGGGCGGGCGGGCAGGCGGAGACGGAGGCGGCGGCCACAAGTGGCGGTCTTTCCAAATGTCAAAAAGGACAGCTGTAACAGTGGTTGATAAGAAAAACAAGTCGTCATCCTCGCCTCCCTCTCCCTCTATCTCTTTTGCTTGTTTCCGAGTAGATAAGCAGCGGCGATTAGTACTCCACTACTAATCGCGTTGCGTGATGCGTCGTCGCGTTGGCTTCCGGTTTGGGTTGGGTGGGTGTTAGGCCACCACATCGGAAAGGGTAGTGGTGGGAAAGGCAACGGATCGAAGGCAGGCGCACGTCATCATGCGTGATCGCAGTCGCGCTGTGCGCATGACAAGTAGTACCACCAGCTTTCTGTAGCTTTGGCAGCTCAACGACGCCGCCAGCCGCCACCGAGCACGAGCAGGCTGCAGCCGGCATTCAAAGGAATCCCATCGTCACGCCCTCGTCAGGCAGCTCATGCTCGGGGGCCTGGGAAGAATCTCGCCGTGCATCTGAGGGGATGGATGCGGATAGGAGGCTCTGCACTGCCCGGCCCGCCGGTCGCAACTGGCAGCTGACCAACTGTCGTGCGTGCGTGATTTCCATGGGTCTGGACGGCGAAGAAGGCGGGGAGGCTAGCGCGCGCGATGCAAGCATCGGCACATGCCGGCAGTAATGATGGTCCGTAGCAGCAGGGACGACAGCGAGGCGGTTTCAGCGACGGACCTGCCTTTCCCCCACGGACCTGCTCATAGCAACCTGTTGCTTGCCCCCAGCCCAAACCTCTAGTCAATGGTTTTCTCTCAAAATACTTCTAAACCAAGATCAAAGATAGTAGTGTCGGGGGACTACAGTGACCTGCCATTTCTTAGGTCGTGTACTCTCATCAGGGAAGGCCCGGCCTCTCTGCTCCTAGCCCGTGCAAGTGCAACCATGCATCCTGGACCGCAAAAATTCTGCCTCTTTCGAGAGAGAGATAAAAAGAGGCGCTTTAAAGCATACAAGAATTTCGGTTCGAGTTGATTGATGATTCTAAATTCAGAACGTCGGTATGATTCGTTCCTCCATCGGATATTTTTCCACCCCTCATATAGCTGTCCAGTCCAGACAGAGCACCACCATCCGGACGACTAGTCTAGCTATTCTTGCACTTGCGCCGAGTGAAAAGGGAAATGCATGCCGGAAGGCGACCTGCAGCTGCCGTTTGTGGGCATCGCCGCCCTTTTCGGCCACTTTAGCAGCCCTCGCCCAACCCCAATCACACCCAACACGGCATCCAGCAGACCAGCACGCCACCGTGTCAACCAACGGGTTTCCGCGTTGCGTCCAAACGGCCTCAGCACTCAGCAGCAGCCACCTCATCCCGTCAGCCGCACACAAAGTCCGCCGTCGTGTTGTGACGGACCTCTCAGCCATCGGATTTCGATCGGACGGTTGCCGACAGAATTGGGCCTGTTTGGGTTCTCAGGAGGAGCCCAAGCCCAGTATAAAATAGACCGAGCCCATTTAACTATCCCATCGATTGATAAGCTTCAGATTTTATTTTTTCAGAAAACCGAAACTGAGTTTTCAGAGCTCTGAGTACAAGGCATCGATCTTCCGAAAGTTCTAGAAGATTCAGATCCCTGCAGCTCTCTAAAACAGCCACACTTTCAGGGAGACGAGACTAGGCGAACGGAGATGGTACCCTGCCGCCGAATGTACAGCGACTCGACTCTGAAGCGAGCCGTCACTGGCTGCTCCCCTGCCAGTTGTCCGGCGTCGGGCGCGGCGGGTACCCATCAGATCGAGCCGTGTTCGTCGATCGCACCGCCAGCGTGTGGCCACGACGGAAACCGTCCCACAAAGCTTGTCAGCCAGCCACCGGACGAGAAGACCGAAGACTCGCCTGGGTGGATTCATGGGTGGACAGCGACGGCGCCGAGCCGCCGGCCGAGGAGTTGCGTGCCGGTTTATCGCGGCACGGCCGGCGCCTGACGCCGACAAGGAACAGATGCAAGTGCAACGAACGCATGGGATCCATCCAAACTAACCCCCGCGGCCGCCAACGCCGTGCCTTGTTTCGTTGAGTTCTCAAACAAGATGAATCTGAACGCAGGGCAGCATGCTTCCTGGAAAAAAAACACGCGTTGTGAGCGTCCGCACCGCACCAGCACGGCAGCACGTGATTATCCAGATCAGGCAGAGTTATGGCAGGTGGTGGCAACAGGCTCTCTTTCAGGTTTTAATCCTACGATACCACATCCATTATAACAGCCATAAGTATTTGGTTAAATGCAGGGAGACATATTCCAGGGATTATTTACTGCAGCAGCAGTTTACAGGGACCGCATCCTCTCTCTTTTTTTCTTTCCCAATTGCAGGTGAATGGCAAAATTTTCCCAACCAAAAAAGCATAGTAATATGAATCGGTAAATGATCTTGCGATCGATCGAATGAAGAACATAGAACATGGGGGTCTCTGACGAGCCTTTGTTCGGTTTCAGGTCTTCAATGCGGTGTTTTTGCAGATGGGGCACACGTTCTTCACCACCAGCCATTGCTTGATGCAGCCAGCATGGAAGTCGTGCCCGCAGTCCAGCCTCCCAAGATCGTCTCCATCAACGTACTCCTCCTGGATAGCGAGAAAGAACACAAGTATATATTAGCAACATACTCCTCTTGGATAGGGAAAAAAGAACATAAGTAAATATTAGCCTTGTTCAACTACTACTATAGTACTATTTCATTGCTTTATAACACTATGTGTCACAGGGACATGTTTACAGGAAAAACAAATAAATTCACACCAGATAACAGATACTGATATGATTTACAACAATGCTGGAAATCCTGATAAATAGACATCTTTCTGCTACAAGTTTTGTTGACAGGGTTGATGTTATTGTTGATTGGTCCCCCCTTAAAAAAGTTTTAACAGTTTGGGTCTGAATCCAAGTCCCCACTAGAACCTAGTGTTAGTATATTTGGTAGTTAGGATATTGTAATCATGTACTGACATATGTATCCGGAGAGGCATCTTGCCCTCCAAATCGATGTACTCTAAGTATTTCGCTTGAGAGGTTCAATGCAAATAATCCCACACATTATACTTACTTCTATGCTATCACCTAATAGTCTTTTCAGTGGTCGAATGGAAGTCATGCTAGAGATAGATTGTAAATCTTTCCTGAGACACTAGAAATCAAGATCAAGGGACAAGACAGATATTCTTAATTCCACAACTTCAAAGCGTTAATTAATAGAAATCCACAGACTACCAGAATAGGATTTTCCTTTGGAGACCTAGATGGTATAAGTAGACAAGCTTGGAAACTTTAGATTTAACTTGCCATTCTAATCTTTGTGCACCAATTTTGTTAGATGCTGCATTTCTTTGTACACATGATGGCTTATGTGACCCAGCTGAATGCTCAATCACCATAATTTGAGACGACAAATTGCACATACTTCAATCATTTAATGTGATTGGTGTATCCGACTGAAATACTTATGCCAACTGAACAAGGCCTGAGTTCTGAGAAGGTTGGGAGTATATGAAATACCTGGCAGATACAACATGGTTCAGGGTCCAAAGATGCTTTTAGTCTCCAAGATGAAAATTTCCTTTGTTTGAGCAACTTTATCACAGCTTCCTCGCTGAGGCCAGTGCTAACATTTCCTATTCTTTCCTCAAGTGCTAATAGTTCCTGAAAGTAGGGCAGCCATCTTGGATTAGATTTTAGATTGGCAAAGATGAAGGTAACGCTTCACTAAGGAAAACAAACCTCATAGGACATATTGTCAATATCAAGGCGCATGTCCCTGTGTCTGTCGTGAATGTCAACGCCGCCATAGAAGATAGACTGTTCAAGAATACATTTGAAGTAAGAAGGAAATCCCTCAATAACTAGCAGGTAAAAACTCAAGGGCATCGAAAATAACTTTTGAATTCATTCAGTTTTATTAGTTGTTCATGCTGTATACTCGTGGCATCCAAGAACTTTCTATCTTAGGACAACTCTTGACATTTCATATCAGTATATCTTGACTTGTTTATTTTAAGCAAATTAAGAATAAAACCTTCAGCCACTTAATAAATGTGTGGTGGTTTTGGACTACAGTAGATCAGAGTAGGTAATTCATTTTCACTTGTATATGAGTTTCCCTTGTATGCTTAAACTTACGGGGTAGTTGATATCAGTCCTTAGTTGTCCGCTGTAGGTATGCTACAATTATAGTCATGTATTTTTTTACTACTCTATTTTCTTAAGTTACAGGGTACCACAGGCTGGCAAATTTAACACAATGTTAGGCTGAAGGATGATCCTACTAACCAGCCGGTCATAACTCATATGTTAACCACGCCCAGTATAAAACAAAAATCCACAAAGAACAATTTTACTTTGGTGGAATATAGAAATAATGGTAGCAAATTGAGTTAAGAAACTCAGATGAATATTGCTGTACTGACCTCGAGCCTTACATTCTCCCCTCTATGAATCATTTCAAGTGCATTCCGGATCTGTTGACAAGTAAAGAAGTTAGAACTCTATGGATTGCCATCAGACAATGAACCATGCACCTTTACATGATTGTCACAGTAGTTAACGCATGCAAGAACAAGCAAGGCTACGGAAGAAAAGGGATAACAATAGCACAATATTTGGCATAAAAACATACGGTGAAATAGATCATTAAGGTTCAAGTTTATTGTGGCTGTAAAAATGAACTTTGCCCCCATCTCTATAACTATACTAGTCAAAATGTCTAAGAAAAACAAA